AAAAAAATAAGAACCAAGATACTCATGTAATGGTACAAGATCCCAATGATGAATGTAAATGTATTTTGTACCTAAAATGTACCAATAAACTTAATGGAAAAAAATTATTTATAAGAAGGTCTGCTATGTGCCACTTACCATTTTGGATACTAAGCAAGAAGGCAAATAGCTGAATAGGATCATCATATATTATCTTTTTTTTAGCCTTTCAGAAGTTTTGTGTAAATGACTTACTTTACCTATTGGTGTCTTCAACCAGATACCTGTCATGCTTCTATTGAGAACAAGGCATAAGCTTGTTCTCACCTGTATTTATGATGCTTATCAAACTAGGACCACCAAAACCCAGTGACAAAGGACAAATTAATGGCTATAACGAGTATTTGTCCTGTATGCTGACAAAATGGAATTCCAATATGTTTGGCAGAGTTTTTGTCCAAGCACTTTTACATTACCAGTTAAAACTGACAACCTGCAATAAAGGTAACATTTGGCAACATACCTTTCTCTGTTCCTGTGAAGTCTTGCACTTATTGCTAGAACAAAAATACAAATATTGAGAATGGTAGCAAGAATAATGAATTCAGGTAGACCTTTCACCTCACTATTTCCAACTCTAAAATCCTTTCTGCAGGCTCCATAAAGCAAAACTGTGAGATGGACCTGTAGTACATGCTGATGGAAAGAGAGGTGGATTTGAACCTGATGCAGGGATGAAGGCTGGGTCTAGTTTTGGAGATAAGAACGACAGTGGGACTAAGAACAACTCTCTGGAGCAATTTTTATTCTTTACTGTCTCTGCATATACAGTCAGTTGAGAAATACGAGTATTCTTAGTCTGAAAGACACACAGATGAGGAAATCTCTAACTTTGTGAGTTACTATTGATTATGCACTCTGCTAATTAATTATGTTGGATGACATTTTAAAATAGAATATTTATGGAAAGGCTTTTTTTGTCATTCATTCACTGTTTGGACATTAGCTTAGTTGAACAATTATTTTTCTGAACTAGAAAGTAGAGTGGACCTGCATGTCTCATAATAAAATGATTAAAATGATTTACTGTATTTTACTAAAGGCTTAATGCAATTGGGAGTTGAAAATCAGCTTTGAAAGGCTGGGAATGTAGCTCAGTGGTAGAGTACTTTGCCTAGCATGTGTAAGGCCCTGGGTTCAATCTCCAGTACCACAAACAAACAAGAAAGAAATTAACTTTTAAGCTTTCCCCCTGTAAATGTGTATTATCTGGCAGGCTGAACATTTTACATGTATTAGTCATTTAATTTTCACAGCAACCTTATGAGATGTTGATGTTTTACAGAGGACATTGTGGCATGGAGAGGGTGATTTCCTTCTATGAATTAGTGAGTGGTGGAGCTTGGATTTGTACCTAGGCAATACAGCTCCTATGCTGTGTTTCCTCTCAGTCAGCTTTTCAAATGATCATCACAAAAAAAGGAAAAGCTCTTTTTTCTTTCCTTTCCTCCCTTACTGTTCAATAAGCAGAAAATATGGTTGAAGAATGAAAGGTGTCTGCCCTAATAAACTGACACATATGTGCTAATTGTTGTTTGAGTTTCAGAAAGTAGAAGTGCTGAACAGAGTGTAAACAACATAATGTTCATTTTGTTTTCAGACACCAGATGTGGACTTTTGGATTATTCCCCTTATCCAAGGTTTTGTGCAGATTGAAGAGCTTGTGGTTAATTATAATGAATCATCTGATGATGAGAAAAGCAGCCCAGAGACACCCCCTCAGGAGTCCACCTGTGTAGATGACATTCACCCACGATTTTTAGTGGCTCTTATTTCACGCCGGAGTAGACACAGAGCAGGTGAGTAGAGGCCTGTAGTGGCTAGTAGCATGTAAATCAAATCCAAATGAGAATGGAAGTTGATAGTGGTGATACACATCCTGTAATCCCAGATCTTGGGAGGCTGAGGCAAAAGGATCGCCGGGAGTTTGAGGCCAGCCTGAACTATATAGTGAGACCCTGTCTCAAAAAGCCAAAAAATAGGGCTGGGAATTTAGCTCAGCAGTTCCGCTGCTTGCTTCACAAGCACAAGGTCCTGAGTTCGATCTCTGGTACCAAAAAAACCCCCCAAAAACAATGATGCGTACAGTTACGATTTTGGGTAAGTCGATACTGTTCTGCCTGCCAGTTGCACACAGGATCCCTAAGGCTTTCCTGGAGGGCATACATCTGATCAGGAAGCATAATCTAGTCAGACAATAAATTTTGAAGATGTTACTGTTTTAATTTTCTTTCAGGAATGCGCTATAAACGAAGAGGAGTGGATAAAAATGGAAATGTTGCAAATTATGTAGAGACTGAGCAGTTAATTCATGTTCATAATCATACACTGTCCTTTATTCAGACACGAGGCTCTGTGCCTGTCTTTTGGAGCCAGGTTGGGTATCGATATAATCCAAGACCTCGGCTGGACAAAAGTAAGCATGTCAGTTATTTGGTTTGCAAATTGATGATTTCAGAGAGAATGTTTTTAAAATTAGATAATTGATAGGTTTGGATTTTCTTTTCCAGATTCTTCATTCAGAACAATACCTCTTAGGGCTAGAAATGGGGCTTATTAGTAGAGGACTTGCCTGGGATATATGAGGCCCTAGGTTCAGTCCCCAGCACTGCAAAACAATAGTAACAACAACAAAACCCCCAATAAATCTTACTGTGAAATGTAACAGAAAGTTATATAATAATGATAGGAGTAGAGTAAGTTATTTATGGAACATTTAAAAGTTTCATGGGCTAGGGATGTAGCTCAGTGGTAGAGCATTTACCTAGCATGTGGAAGGTCTGGGTTCAGTCCCTACCACTACAAAAAAAAAAAAGTATCTCCAACAGTTGAGCAGAACAGCTTATTTCATAGATTTCTTTTTTTTTTTTTGGTACCAGGGATCGAACTTGGGACCTTGTGCGTGCGAGGCTGGAGGAACCACTGAGCTAAATCCCCGGCCCATCCTCAGATTTTTAATTGCTGTTGCTTTGAAGAATACTTCATTGAATGTTTAACTTTGGGAAAGGGCAATTATGGCCAGTATTTGTAGAAATAGAAAGTCTACTAACAAGATAGAATTTATCAAAAATTAATGAGGTTACTTTATTCAGATGACTCTCCTTCAGAAGTTCTTTTTTAAATAATGAAGAGTTCTTTTCGTCCAGTGCTAATAAACATTAGCCCTAGAATAGCTAAGTCATTTAAATTTAATTAGATTATGAAAATTAAAAAAAATTTTTGTAGTAGTTTTCCCTGAAGGCTTAGTTTGTATTCTTATGAGAACTGAGTAAAACTTCATTTTTAAATGTCATTGTTTTGCAGGAATTTTTATTCTCTTGTTATAAGTCATATGAAACCTTTTCTGAGGAGTAGGCTGAATATATAAATACTAAATGTCATAATTTCACAATTGGCAGTTTCAGATATGTTATAGATTAGTCTAATTGGAGAAAACAAAACTGCAGATATTTGGCTTAGCACTTTATTTTAAAATGATTAGACAGTCTCATATTTAGGTTGTCAATAAATTATTTAAAAATAAGAATAAAGGTAGACACTGATTTCTGTCTTAAACATGGGAAGGAAAAATAGATTTTGTATCACTTCTTTGTAGGTGAAAAGGAAACTGTTGCCTATTTCTGTGCCCATTTCGAAGAACAACTGAAAATTTACAAAAAACAGGTGCGCTTTGATATGTGGTGTAAAATGTTCCTTCATATGTAGAAATGACTGTATATCTGTTTCTTTAAATTTCATGAAACTAACATTGTGATTAAACGACAGAGCATTTGTTATGATGTTAAAAATGTAGAAACTAAGAATATTCTTTACGAAGAATCAAGTCAGCTGCTTTAGACTGCCTTTGGATAAGAGATTAGATATGTCTAACAATTAATCATTACAGTCTAACATATATCTAGACTAGGAAATGAAAGTCATCTGTAAGAAACCCTACTACCTCCTGGAGAAAAGAATTTGCTGTGTATCTTTGATTATCTCTCTATATGTATCTCTTTTTCTCTGGCCACCTTTTGTATTCATAAATTCACATATAGAAATGCAATCATATAAACCGAAATCAATTGAAAACTATTAAGTGAAATACAAATTCAGTACGTAATTTCAATGCAAGATTAACATCTAATAGTAATGCTCTTTATCCATTAGTAGTGATCAATCTAAATATAATGCCATGGGTACATTTCTCTTACAGTTACAATAAATATAATAGAAAAAAATCACCTAAAGTATGGTAAACATGCAAAAAGATGACATATATGTGGAGAAGAAAAAATTATCAAAGAACATAAAAGAAAACTTGACTAAAATGGAGAGAAAATACCATGTTTCAGGAAATGAAGTTTCAATATTCAGTAGATTTCAATTCTTCCCAATTTGATATATAAATGTAATGCAATCTCAAAGTCTCAGGAGGAAATAGGAAGCAGACCCTCATATTGAAAAGAATTAGGAAATTTGATAAGTGATAAAAGTAGACATTTGAATTTCAAAACAAGAACTCTTACATGTTAGAAACATTAAGTTGGTATAGCAGTTTTGAATATATCAGTTAAACATTTAGCCTATTTTTACACAGTAACTTTACTTTTTGATATATACTGTACACAGAATTAGTTTGAGATAGAGTATGGATGTAAATGTGAAAGGTTAAGTGGGGCCAGGGATTTAGCTCAGTGGTTCCAGTGCCTCCCTCACAAGCACAAAGTCCCAAGTTCGATCTCTGGTACAAAAAAAAAAAAAAAAAGAAAGGTTAAGCAGTAAAGCTTTTAGAGGACAATACAGAACTTCTGTTGACCTTGGATCATATATGGGATTTATAAAAACAGGAACGTCTGCTGCATTTTTAATGTATGATTGTATATTACATCTTATTGGTTGTTTAATAAGGAATAATGCCCATCTAGGAAATGTTTATTTTATTTATTTATTTGGTACCAAGGATTGAACTCAGGACTTGTGCTTATGAGGCAGGCAGCGGAACCACTGAACTAAATCCTTGGCCCAGAAATGTTTATTTTTTTAAAAATCACTATTCATAATGAAAAATTTACTAATTTAATGACATTACATTTATTGTTACTGAAATATCATTTATCATTTATTAACTATTAACGTATACATATTATTACAACTATTGAATAGGACTTTAACTGTAAGGAAAAAAGTTGATAAATTTGTTGAAATAAAAAACTTCTGTTTATTGAAAGACATTATTAAGAGAATGAAAAGAGGGCCGAGGATTTAGCTCAGTGTTTCCGGCGCCTGCCTCGCAAGCTCAAGGTCCTGAGTTCAATCTCCAGTACCAAAAAAAATAATAAAATAAAAAGAGATACAGGAACCTCTGTGGTTGTTGTATCTGGATTTTTTTTTTTTTTTTTGGTACCAGGGATTGAACTCATGTCCTTAGCTTGTGAGGCAGGTGGTGTGGAACCACTGAGCTAAATCCCCGGCCCAATGTTGTATCTGGATTTAATGTGGAAGTCCTGCATCTATCTCAAGACTGTGAATAAAATAGCCAGACGCAACCAATATCTTGGTAGGATAAAAAAGACGGAAAGAAAAACAGAATAAAAAGGTGGACAGCATTAGTGTCATTGATAGTATTAGAAACCACTGAATTCAGTCATTCTGGAGCCCTGCTACCATATTTTCAGATTTGTTCTGAGATATGAGTCAGTGATTTGTCATCTGTAACAAAAAATCCCTGACACATATATATTCACAATTCAGAACTTTAATAAAAATATAGCTGTACCATACTGTGCTGTACCTGCTTTTTCTTAAGATCTCATGACTGTTAACCATTTTTCCATTGGTGGACTTTTAGAATATAAAATAATATATTTTTGCTATTATAAAAAGTTTCTAAACTGCATATGGTGGCACACATCTATAATCCCAGCACTTGGGAGGCTGAGGCAGGAGGATCATGAGTTTGAGGCAAGCCTGGGCTACATAATGAGTTGAAGGCTGACCTGGACTATATAGCAGGAACCTATAAAAAAAAAAAGTCTCCAGAAATACTTTTATATATTTTGGTATACTTGTGTATTTTATAGAACAAATTTCTGGAAATGAAGTTGCTGGATCAAACAATGTATATACTTAAAGCTGATACCATACCACTTTTGCTATCAAAAAGGCCACAGCATTCACACTTCCAGGAACTTTGGGAGCCAGTGCCTATTTCCTCATAGTCACTGCTACTTATATTTATATTCATATTTACCTGTTCATAGGTGAAAACCAGCTTTCTACTTTAAAATCTGTGTTTCTTGTGACTGGGATTTACCTCAGTGGCACTGCACCTGCCTTGCAAGCGCAAGGTCCTGAGTTCAATCCCCGGTACCAAAAAAAAAAAAATTGTGTTTCTTTATTAACAAAGCTAGGCTCATGTTTGTTGGCTGTTTATGCATTTTCTCTTGTGAATTTATCCTTTTTTTCCTTATTGGATTTATAGTACTCTATTGTGAATTTATCCTTTTTTCCTTATTGGATTTATAGTACTCTATATATTATTAGTTTTCATGTTGTAGGTATATTCTCTTGGATAGTCTTTTTTTTTTTTTCAATACTGGGGATCAAACTCAGGACCTGTCTCTTGCGAGGCAGGCATGGCACCACTGAGCTAAATCCCTAGCCCTCTCCTGGGTAGTTCTTTGTTTTGTCTTTTTACCTTTTATTATACTATCACTGGTATACAGGTTGGAAATTTTTGTGTTGTTACATCTGTCAATCTTTTCCTTTGTGCCTTCTGGTTTTTATGTTAGGCTTAAAAAGTCATGTCCCAGTCTTCAATTATGGGAACATTGCCCTCATCTTTTTTATAATTGAAGAAAAAATATTTAGATTGTTAATGTATCTAGAATTTATTTTGTGTAGAATTAGTGAGATGTAGGGAGCAATTATAAATCTCCCCATATAGCTGGACAATTATCCCAGTTCTGTACCATTGATGGAATGGTCCATATTTGCCCACAGTGGTGTAGTTAACATATCTTAGAATCCTCAGTGAACATAGGCTGAATCAGCTATTTGGAATATGTTTTGCTCTCCAATGGTGTAAGTTCCCCCTTAGTATTAGTTTCTAAATTTTTTCCACATATTTGCTCTTCCAGATGAACTTTAGAATTAACTTGTCAGGTCTATAAAGATCCTGGTTAAATTTTGATTGGAATTGTTGAATGTATAGATTAATTTGGGGAGACCTGACATCTTTATGATATTGAATCTTCCCATTCAACAACATGGTATGAGTCTCCATTTATTCAGGTTTCTTCTATGTATTTGAGCAGTTTTGTAGTGTTTAGTATGTAGATTTTATGTTTTTAAATTATTTTAGATACTTAAAATATTTGCTGCTATAGAGGACCATATTTTCATGTATATTCTAATTGGTTATTGCAAATGTATAGAAGAGCTATTAATACCATTGATGTAAATAATTCTCAGCCTAAATTTATTTGACAAATAAAATTTTAATGTTATAGAAAAATTGATGCTTAAGTGCATTAATTTCTAAGCATGGCTATAAAATATTTCTAAAACAAAATTACAAATAAATCCCTAAATGTCACATTATGATTCTAACATCTAATTAATCTTAATTTTTTATTTTTCTTCACTCTCCCAGGTTATTATTAACTTAGTAAACCAGACAGGAAGAGAGAAAATTATTGGTGATGCTTACCTGAAACAAGTGCTGCTTTTTAACAACTCTCATCTCACTTATGTTTCCTTTGACTTCCATGAGCACTGGTAAGGTGGCCTTCTGAAATGATTTCTGGACAGCTGCGATGTGTGTTAGTTAGCTTTTTGTTGCTGGGATAAAAGAGCTGAGGAAAAATAACTTAAAGGCAGAAGGGTTTGTTTTGGCATTGTATTTTATATGGTTAAGTTTGGCTGGCTCTTTCCATTGCTGTGGGTCTGAAGTAAGGCAGAATATCATGGTGAAAGGGTGTTTTTGAGCAAGGCTGCTCACCTTGTGGCAGCTGGGAAGTAATAAGGGGAGTAGAGAGCCAACGGGCAGGAGCTAAATACAAGAAATAGTCCCCAAGGCAGTGCCCTCATTATGTACTGCCTTCAACCAGGCCCTACTTTCTGATAGCTATGAACTCATCATGGGATTAATGTCTTACGATCCAGTTACCTCACAAACTCCCATCGCTGGCCTTTGGAGGACATTTTAGTTCACATTATAGCACAATGTTTGTGGTAGATGCTGCCACAGGGACCTTAGTTTCTTGTCTGCTGGGAAAAATAGAATTCTCCTCTCTTAGAAAAGGAAAGAATATTGTTTGTTTACTTAGTTTTAGTTTTCATATGGGCTTTATTTTGGCTAAAATCTTAAGGTAATTGTTCCCATAATACTTAGTCTTTCTGTTCCAAAATGACTTGGATACTAAAGAGTTCCATTTTTGTTTTGGTCACACCAGTTGAAGAACTTCCAGAGCATTTTCTTTCTGCTTGAGTCTGAGTCTTAGTAGAAGTAATAGAATTTCTTTACTTAAGAATCATCCTGCTGCCTCTTCTTCGTTCTTTATTAATAATACTTCTGTCTCTATGGAGTAAATTCTAGAGTTTGCTCTGGAAAAACAACAATCAGTGAATAATGTTGATGTACTTTTAATTTATGTGTATTCTGAAAGCAAGTTTCTTTTGCTACAATCCTGGCTCTATTATAGGTTAATTTACCTATATGTTGGAGATTTGGTGGGAACAGAAGCTTCTGATATGTTTAATATATTCTTAAGTGTGTATTTTTTCACAGTGTAAATTGGTTATAAACAATTACAGAATTGCTTATGTTATATTTAATAATATTAATAGTCGCAGTTCTTTTTAATGTTTCCAAGCTACCTTGAGTATCATATCTTTAGTACATTTTGGTTTGTTTTGTTTTGGCGGTGCTGGGGATCATCCCAGGGCCTTGTGCATGCTAGGCAAGAAATTCTATTATAATATTAAATGTATGTTTCTTTCTTTTGTCATGAATTTTAGCCGAGGAAGAAAGTTTGAGAATGTTCAAACCCTAACAGATGCCATCTATGACATTATTCTTGACATGAAGTGGTGTTGGTAGGTATAAGAAGGCATTTTGATAGACTCTTGGTCTGTGAAATCACATGTATTTGTCTACTCCAACAAGCATTAAAATAATAGCAGCATTCTGAGAAAACATTTATTGTTGCTTTGCTTCCTAATTTCTTTTCTCCTCTTCGGGAGAGTGTTGTTGATCATTAGTCAGTGTTAGCTTTGAACAGGGAAGAGGTCCAAGATGGGTGGGCACAATAAAGTGAAATGCTCTGTAACTGCTTTTTAAAGATATAAATTGATTCTTTCTCATGCTCCGTGGTCTGTTTTCTCTTTCTCCTCTTTCTCATCATCCCTAACATGAGAAAGAAGGCTTAGAGGTACTCAGTTTTCAGGCATTTCACAATAATAGAGAAGGAAAATGATTCTCAGACTACAGGTGGTAGATATAGGAAGAAAAGAAAATTGGCGTAAGGACAGGAGAGAACATTGGATTAGGTTTCAAGAGTACACGGATGGCCAGAGAAATTAGAGGAACAAGCTGTGCTGCATGACTGCTCACGGGGTGGTAAAGTAGATTACCCTGTTTCAGGTAGTTTACATTCATTTTTGCTTTGAGTCAGAAAGGAAGGAACAAAGTGGTTGTTAAGTACCCTCTGGTTTAGGAGCATATAGAAAAGGATGACACGGGTTGTCAGCTGTGCTTTGTAATTATATGACTTGGGGCAGATCACTCTTTTTCTGTACCTCAGTTTTATTTTGTTTTTTAAAATTAGGATAATATGTTTGTTATCAAGTTATTGGGTAATACAACAGTATCATCTATAAATAATTCAGTAATGCCTGGCACATGATATTCCAAGCAAATTGTTAGCTAATGCTTCTGTTGTTACTGTTACAAGGAATCATTTTTTTTAAAACCTGTTAAAGTATTTCAGATTCTAAAATAGTCCCATACTGTTTCTCAAAAGGGTTGATCAAGCTGGAGTGATATGTAAACAAGAAGGGATTTTTCGAGTTAATTGCATGGACTGCCTGGATCGCACAAACGTGGTCCAAGCTGCCATTGCAAGAGTGGTCATGGAACAGCAGGTAATTTGGAGTCCATTTGATTCTGAATACTCACTTTTAAAGGTTTGTTCTCATGTAAATAAAAGCCAAAGTCTTTTTTCAAATATCGAATACATTTATAGCATACAAACATCCTTGCATTAAAACCTGGAAGGCACAAAATTCACTAGAAATAAGTTGAATAAAGTGACATTTTCTTAAGTTCTCATTTAGAAAATGGAGGAACTAACATTTTAAAATCTATGGGGTGGCATGGTGTAGTCAGTTATCTTTTTTTTCTCAATTCCAGATCCATCCTTCTGTAATTTGGGATGGGAATCTGCATACCCTATTTTCCTTGCCCAGCTGGCTCTGCCAGTATGGGTGTGAGTGGCCTAAAGGAAACCATGAGGCAGGAGGAGGAAAAAGGGTCGAGTCCCTTCACCCATGTTCCTGCCAGTGGATGGTTCTCTGGATCTTGTTGGTTCCTTTGACAACACGGAACCACCTCCTCCCTTTGTGCCCCAGCCCTGTGACTGGCAGCTGCTTTGTTGTCTTATATCATCTCTTTTACCTTGGTGCCCTATTTAAGATCTTTCAGCCCTCTCATGCCTAAATTAAAGGTACCTGTATTAAATCACCAAAGTGAAAATACCTAGCATAGTTTCTGGGTTTTTATTTTTTGTGATAGAACCTTATGACTATTCTTTCAGGACCTGAGCCTATTCCTCTAATGTAATATTTAAGCAGCCAGGCTTTTGAATTTAAGCCCTGGGCTCTACCACATGCTAGGTCTTGGCTCTACCCAGAACTTAACTTCTCTAAACCTAAGTCTCATCATTTCTAAAATGGGGGTAATAAGAGTATGGTTTGCTAGGATTGTTATGACAAGGAGATAATTCATGTAAAACAGCTCTTAGAACCCTAGCCCTGGCATAGAGTTAGCATTTACTGGGTATTTACTAATCTGCTACTATTAATATTCTTATTGTTTCTTTGTGTTTTTCTAATATTAGTTTTACTTCATAGGCAAATTGAAAACAAAGACAAAATGTAAGAGTATGAGCCTATATATTAAAAATTATACCAAAACAATATTTCATTATATTCAGCTGTGCTAATTCATAAAGCTGTCTTTTAATAGTGCTTTATTTAAAAAAAAATCTGAAAACACTATTTCTCTTAAGTGTACATCAGTATGTTTCTTTTTTCTGGAGTATATATTTTATCCTATGGTTTTGTGGTTTAATCTACCAATGTGTTCATTTTAGCTGAAAAAATTAGGTGTGATGCCCCCAGAGCAGCCACTGCCTGTGAAATGTAATCGGATCTACCAGATAATGTGGGCAAACAATGGTGACTCCATTAGCAGACAGTATGCTGGGACAGCTGCTCTGAAGGTAAATATGTGTAGCAAGCATTTATAGGTCCTTCTGTGGGATGCAGGCTAGGGTGTGGTTTAAAACCAACTTTGTTTTTGACAGACAGTTATCTGAGTTGCAGGTGGTAGGTGTATGCTGTTGACTTCTTTGGGGAATGTTTGGTTACGTCCGGGGTCACCCATTTAAATTCCTGTGAGATGTAGCTCAGTGGTATAGTTCTTGGCTAGCATGCACGAGGACCGGTGTTCAACCCCAAGGGAAAAAAAAGAAAAGATAAAACGATTCCTGCAGAAGCCAGGTAATGTGATTCAAGCAGGCCACCAAGGAGGAGCGTACACTGTATCTGGAGAGGGCCAATCTGCTGTTTCCTTAGGTTCTGTGTTGTCAGATCCTCCTTTTTCAAGGAAGTCTTATCAAGTGTGTCTAGAAATTGGGAATTTTATGTGAATGGATTTTAAAACTATGTACAACAAAATGTGTCTACCAGCAGGACTTGGTGCTAGTATAATGCTTTATGTTCTTTGTTTTTGACTCCTAAGCTTGCTTCTTATTAGCTGTTATCCTGGGCAAATCACTTAAATGCTTTGTCTCATTTGTCTAATGGGAATGATACTAGGCCTACTGCAAAAAATTCTCACAGAATTAGATGAGCAAATGTGTGTTAGGACTTAGAACATTCCTTGACCCATAGTAAATGCTGGAGAAATGTTTTGTTTTTTGTTTGTTTGTTTGTTTTAGGTACCAGGGATCAAACTCATTACCTTTTGCTTACAAGGCAGGGGCGGTGCTACTGAGCTAAATCCCCAGCCCTTGGAGAAATGTTTTATTATTTATTGTTATATATTAAATCTCATTGCCTTCTGTGAACAATAGGAATTGATTCTGTTAGTTTAATTATTTAATTTTCTGTCAAGGCTCATCTTATGCTATTTCTTAAATTGTACCACCAAGGGCTCAACAGGCATCAGATCTTTCTGTATTTTTGGGTGAGTGATAAATATCAAAAACTTTTTTGGTACCAGGGAATCGAACTTGGGACCTTGCGCTTGTGAGGCATGTGGCAGAACCACTGAGCTAAATCCCTGGGCAAAACCTTTTTAATAATTAAGGAAACTAGAGACTATACTAGTAGTGGTGAACCTATGGTGGGCATGCCACAACCTGCTGTTTGTTATCATTGAAAGCTGTAAAGGTTTGCCATTATTAGACTGACTATACCTTCCATGTCTTAAGTTTAAGTTACTACCACTCTACAGACTTCCTCTGTCATCTTTGTTATAAAAGCAAGAGAGGGCGGGGGATTTAGCTCAGTGGTTTCACCACCTGCTGTGCAAGCGGGAGGACCCGAGTTTGATCCCCGGTACCAAAAAACCCAAAAAAAACCCAAAATAAAAGCAAGAGAAACAGCCAGGTGTGGTGGTGCATACCTGGAATCCCAGCACGCAGGAGGATTGCTGAGAGTTAGAGGCCAGCCTGGGCTACATAGTGATTTTAAGGTCAGCTTGTGCTACATAGCAAAACCCGGTCTCAAAAACAAAAATAAAACAAAAAACATACAACCAAAAACACACCCCACCCAGGAAAACAACAAAGCAAGAGAAACAAAAACTATTTTGTTTTGTTTATTAATCTTTGTTGGATTATTATATAAGTGATTTTAATGTGCAGTGAGGTATGGAAACCTCAGCTGTACACTTACGCACACATAGGCGGAATTTCATTTTAATAGGGAACTGTCTACATTTTCCCACATCAGAAATTTAATGGGGTTTGTTGTTTGTACTAGGGATTGAACCTAGAGCCTTGTACATGCTAGGATCTACATCTCCAGACCTTTTTTTATTTAGCAACATGGTCTCTTTTAGTTGCCTTGCCCAGGCTGGTCTTGAACTTGTGATCCTCTTGCCTTAACCTCCCAAGTAGCTGGGATTATAGGCATGTGCTACCAAATGTGGCAGAAATTTGGTTTTTGAATATTATACCAGTTTGAGGCCTGGAAATCTTTTTTGTTAGGGTAGTGTTATGTGTTTCATTTTGGCTTGTAAATTCTAGAAATTCTACAAATTGCCAAGAATGGCTTCACCCCCCTAAAACACCATCAAACTGTGAAGACTTGATGCCACAAATAATATGTGTAATTGTTGACATATTTGGATCAGAGTCAAATACTGGTAGATACTTTAATTTATTCTATTTGGAGATTATTAAAGTTAAAGTTTGGAAATTATAGAAAGCTATAGAATTCTAGTCTTGAACTGAAAGCCCAAAATTGATTTTGAGAACATTCTTGTCTTTGAATAAATTTCCAAAATGACTTTCTTTGACAGGGTGACTTTACAAGGACAGGTGAAAGGAAGTTAGCAGGAGTTATGAAAGATGGTGTCAACTCAGCGAATAGGTATTACCTCAATCAGTTTAAGGATGCTTATAGGCAAGCCGTTATAGGTAAGGACTTTTCTTTCAAATG